GGCAGACCCATCTCACATATTTGGCAGAAATCAATAGCCTGCTCAACAAGAAGATATGGCTCAATTCATCACTCAATATTTTCCAATAATTCAGTAGTTTGTATGGCAACAACAACAACAACCACAACAACAATCACATCAACAATTACCAAAGGTGCCATGAAATAAGAAGAATGGTAAGAGATTTATGGTGCAAGAAATGCCATAGGTTGAATCACCCCCAAGAAACTCAGATGAAGAATCTATTCCTGAGGATAGGTTGTGGAAAAGATATAAAGCCAAAATTGATGCTCTGAAATGCAGATCTTCGCGAAGCATCTCAACCGCACGAAATCAATCACCAAAGTTGGATATCATCCTACTTCAAGCTCCACAGGAAGAGGAAGGGCTTGCAAGTGCTGGAAGTCCATCATGCTTGAACAAAAATCTATTCACTAGAAAAATTGAAGATTGCCCCCTCCCTTTTGGTTTTAAGTTGCCATATTTAGAGACATAAAATGCAACTACGGATCTAGAAGATCGCATGAGTAGTTTTGTAGCTTGAATGAGCCTTCAGAACTCCTCGGACGCCATTATGTGCAAAGCTTTGCCAATAACCTTAATGAGAAATGCCAAGTTGTAGTTCCAAGGCCTTGCTGTCCGATGCATAAGGAACTTTAGAGAGCTTGTGCAAAAGTTTGTCACAACTTTCATTTCATGAAAGTCATTTGTCAAGAACTCTACTCAACTTATGAATGTGAAGTAGAAACTTGGAGAGACTCTACTAGCTTATCTCAAGTGCTTCACCATCAAGAGCATTCAGGTTGTGGATAGAGATGAAAAGATAATAATTGCTGCCTTTACCAATGGTTTATAGCTAGGAGAAATATATAAAGAGTTGGCCAAGAGACCTCCAAATATCATGAAGGAAATGTTGGACTAGGTGCATGAGTTTGCTAAAGGAGATGAAGGAAGCAAGTTGAAGAAAGAATTAGAGAGGCCAAATGACGATAAATGAAGAAAGGACCAACAAAAAAGAAAAGGAGAAACGAGTGGAAAAAGGAAGAGTGTGTTCAATTGTTATGAAAAGGGAAAAAGTTTTTGCGGGACAACGATTTGACTCCCTTGAACACCACTCGATCTCAAATACTAGCTCATGTTGAAACAATGGTCTACTTCGAAGGCCAAAGCAACTAACTAGGCTTATGGAAAAGTATAACAAAAGTTTGTATTGCATTTTTCATAAAGATGTAGGCTACCTTACCGATGATTATAATGATCTAAATAGGGAGATTGAATACCAAATCAAACAAGGAAACCTCAAACAATTTGTACAACAAGCTCGAGATGCATGAAATCAAAGAGATTATGATCCAGATTGTGGTGGAAAAGACTAGATCAGGGAGGTCAGAGATTCAGCCTAGGACCTTAAAGGGCACCAATAAATCAAATTAACTAGGTCAAAAATGAAGTTAATTTGGCTGGAGTTATAAATACGATCCCAGGAGGACCTACTGGAAGAAATAATGCATTAGTTAGGAAAGCCTCATTATGTAGTACAATGGCCCAACAATCTAACAAAGGGATAAGACTCAAAATGCATGAAGAAATTATTTTTGGGCCAGAAGATTAGATCCCAGTGCTTTCAACTCGCCATGAAACCCTGGTTATCCATGTGTTAACAAATAACTATAGGGTAAATAAGGTATTGATAGACTGTGGGAGCTCGGTAGATGTACTCTTCGGGAAAGCATTTCAAGAGTTCGAATTTCAGAAAAATCAACTGATCCCAGTTCAAATACCACTGATAGGGTTTAATAGGAAGCCAGTCCAAGCTAAGGGAGCACTAATTACATAGGTGACGATAGGCCAAGCACCACAAAGTTAACAATCCTGATTACCTTTGTAGTGGTAGATATACCAGTTGCTTATAACATAATTTTGAGGAGATCAACTTTCAATGTGTTACGTGCTGCGATTTCAATATATCATTTATGTTTGAAATTTCCAACAGCTTTTGGGACAGCTGTAGTTTATGGAAATGTTAGCATGGCTCATGAGTGCTATGTGGCAATGCTCAAGGTAAAGGGACTAGAAGTTATGGAGGCCGTTACTACAGAGGAACTAGAACGGATATATAATGAATCTCAAAAAGTCAGTTTCGAATATGAGCTAGAAGGGAAGATCCCTTAGCTAGAAAATATGAGCTAGATGAGCCAGGGGAGAACTGAGATGCAGGCCAAAAGGGAATTCATGAATTGGGGTTGTTTCAGTTTATCATGATTTTTTGTGGCTTGGTTATTTCAATTTTATTTTCTAGTGCTTTCTGGATAAGTATAATCTCAAGTGGAATATAGAGTCTTTTGGAAAAATTTGTTGTCTGTTCCACCTTCACATTAAATTTCCTGCTTTACTTTAATAATCTCACTACATACATACATACATAGAAATAAATAGAAACACACACACACACACACACACACATATATATATAGGATAATTTTAGAAACCCCTCCAGAGGTTTCATGAAATATCATCTAGCTCCCCTAAAATTTTCAAAATTTCTTTAGTACCCTTGCAGTGATAATGGATCATATACTAATATCAAAGGTTAAAAATTGTCAATAATACCCTAATATCAAAGTTTTACCACATACAATTTCCTCACAAACCATGTCTTCAATTGAAGCCCCTTCTCCGTATGAAGCTGACCTAAAGTTTGTTCTCTATTTGAGAACTAGATTTGAAGTCAAATCCAAAGCCCCTTCTCGTCAACTAGGAGGTAATGACCAACCAATAGAAATAAATGATTGGATAAATTGTTCTCCAGAAGAAAAGCTATCAAGCTATTCATCAATCCCCAATCAAGCAATACATTGCAAAATAATTATTGAAATTGCCTCTTACCATTTTCTTCCTAAAATTATTCTACTGGAAAAAAAAAAGAGTTGGAGAAATTGATATTGTTGCGCTTTTATTTTGTGTTTACAAAAATGTATGAAAACCCATCGATCTCTGCCTTGCCTATACTCTTCAGAAGCCAAGCTTTTGCAGTGGGAAGAAAGACCAACTATAGTCAAAATCACTCCATTATTGCACTCAAATTCTACCCATTCTCCACAAAACACCCAATCCTCAATCCAATTTTGCTTTTTTTTTTTCCATTTTCCTTTTAAGTGAATAATTAAAAAGAAATTTGTACCTACAAGAAAAAAAACTATCAACTTGGCTCTCATCATTTTCTCTACTCGACTCTTTCAAATGAAATTCTGGCTCTCATCATTTTCCTTTTCCTTTTAAGTGAATAATTAAAAAGAAATTTGTACCTACAAGAAAAAAAACTATCAACTTGGCTCTCATCATTTTCTCTACTCGACTCTTTCAAATGAAATTCTGACTCTAATGATGGCAATAGCGACGGTGACGGCCAAGACATAAACCCTCAACAACCAGCCACTCCCTTGCATCTCCCTCACCTAATTCCACCTCTTCCCCTACCTCAGGCATCAACCAAGACCTTTCTGCCCTTTCTTAGGCCTTCTCCTACCATCTTCATAGAGTTGCCACCTTTTTGGCCCCCTACTAGCTTCCCGACAACAAAATATCGGTGATGTCAATAGTAATTGCTCTTCTATGACCACTGGTGATGGTTACGCAATGGCGCCATCTCCTTCAAAATTAAAACAATCACCGGAAAAAAAGGGCTTGGATGAAATTGAGGTAGCTTTAATTCTCTTCTTCTTCTAACAAAGCCATTTAGGGGATTTCAAAGCTTGCTTTTGGTCTTCTATAGTTCCAAGATGATGTCCTTGATGAAGGAGAAGGAGAAGGGGAGGACAAAATTGAAGGATTTTTGTCCAAAAAAACGGTGACTGTTTTTTGATGGAACGAGTTCTGGGAGAATCGATAAAGCTATTCCACTTAGAATGTGCTTGATCTGTTGCAGCACGTAATCCAAATCTTTTGGACCATTTTATCCCCAAAACCCTACACTTGCAAGTCATGTTAGTGTGTTTCCACTTGGATTAGCCAATAATCTTGCCGGAATCATCCATATGGCTCATTTTAAATAGATAAGTGATCATTTTGGCTAAAAAAAATAAGATTAGTGAGCAATCAGTGCAATTTTAAAATATTTAGTGACCTTTTGGCCATTTACTTTTTTTTTTTGTATTTCACAACTATATTTATCTATTTATTTATTTCTATCCATGTAGAGCATGAGAGAAATGAAGTAACTGAAGCTTGTGTTTTTTCAAATTCTGATTTTTTTCTTTTTACAATAAGATTTCATTTTTTTACTCCCCATCGAAAAGTTAGTTTATTTCGAGTAAATTCACTATATGATATTGAAGTTGAATTTCATCTATTGCTGAGTTTTTTTGCTCAAGTGTATGAGTTTTATATGCTAGTTGCCTTTAACACTATGGAGGGTTTTTTTTTGTACAAATGGTTTAAATAATAATATTTGCTTTTACTATTTCTATCTATTATAGAAGTGACTGTTGGCTACAACATAAGTCTTTATCAGTTTTCATTCCCTCACTTTTAAAATGGTTCAAATTTAGTACTTTTTTTTCTTGGGTTGTAAAATGTTCAATTTTTTGATAGCCTAAGAGTATTAAGGGCACTAAAATAGTCTCTCCTCTCTAACTTGAATTTTCTAATATTAGTTTTGGTTAGAAGGGTTGATAATGTTATCAAAATATCAATTCAAGGGATGCTAAGCGAGATTTTGAAATTTGAAAGAACCTAGGTGATATTTCATGAAACCTTAGGGGAGCTTTCTGAAATTATCCCAAGGTCACAGGGGACTGAAACAGAAAAACAATAGATTGACTAAAAAGTTGCATAATTGTTAAGAAACGTGTTGCCAAAAAAAAATCCACAAATAGCAAAATGAGGGTTACACTTTTTTTTTTTTTTTTTTTTCTTTCCCCGAAACGATAGAAAGCAAAATGAGTGTTACACTCTGTTGAGTTTATTAAAAAGTTGGAAGTGATGGTGATGGCTCCCTCTTCAGCTCCTCATTGCCACTCTTCTACTTCCGTTGCTCCCAGTATGATCATCCCCACAAAACCCTCAACTCTGTCCAAAGCCCTCTTCTCAAAGCCAGATGGTACCCCTTTTCCCTGTCTTTGTCGTTTCCCAATTCCTTCTCATCTACTACTACTTCTTCCGGCTGCAGCTGCGGGGGCCGCCTTGTATCTGCTATGGCAATGGGCGGTGGTGGTACTAGTAGTAGTACTAAAAAAGAGCAGCAGCAGCAGAAGAAAGCGGAAGCAGAGGAGGAGGAGGAAGTGGAGGAGGAGTTGCCCTGGATACAGGAGAAGGCATTGGACTTGGTCGAGTTCACGGCTCTGTTACCCAAGCCCTGCCCGGGCCTAGAGGTGGGCAGAGCTCCTTGCCCTGGGTTTTGGCTGTTCCCTTGGCTTATTTGGGGATTACCTTTGTCTTTGCTTTCGTTAGAACTGTTTGGAAGTTCAATTCCACCAGAGGAAAACGTCGTCAATTGGTTAGTATTTCTACCTGCATTGCAGCTTTTTTTTTGTTCAGTTCTTTTTAGTTTTAAAAATGTATGCTTGATGCCTTTATCCTGGAATTGTATGTTAATTATTTAAATTCCATGTTTCTTGGAGCATTTATATGTATGTGGCTCGAGAAAAGGAAGTATAGTATTTATGACGTATAGGATTGAGTAATGCAGTTGTGCAGCCTTTTAGGAGACTAATAGCCTCATTGCGCCTTAGATAGGGGATGATTGTTGCACAAAAAGTAGTTGAGCAAGCACGTGATCAAGAATTTAAAATGGTAAAAAAGCAATGAACTTGTTGATTTCCTTATGGCACGAGACATTTGTATATCTATTTGTCTAGGTTTGGAATCTGGAGCATGGAATCCTTGTGTAGGTAAATGAAGAGTCATGATTCGGGAATCGACATGATTATAGCCATGCCACATGTGAGGCTCATTATATTAGCACAATTAAGTTGTGGCTGTTGTGATCTCTATGAGATTGTGGAATTCTTGCATATGCCGGTGCCAGTTCATTCACATCTCACAGGAGTTTGAGGATGAAAGTACATCTCCTGCTTAACTCATTGTAGCATGAAAACATGTACTCAGTTATTGTACAAGATAGGTTATTCTAACATTAGCAGACTAACTGTGTCCTCGACTTCACAACCATAAAAGATTATCTTGTCTTTCTCAGTGTTCCTCATCGGTCATCTCATGATTTCCGACAGCTGGAACAATCATTTAGGTGGTTTCTGATTGATATACTTGCACGTCTTCAAAAAGTGGTATCATGCTTGATTACTTTTGTAAATTTATGACTATACCTTCCTTTTGCACTACAATGCATTTTGATGCGATTGGGTTTATCTGAAGAGCGTAACCTAATGTAAGGGTTATCCATCCTCTATGTGGTTTAATTTGATCACCCTTGGGGGGTTGAATTAGTGTTTTCTCATATAGTTAACCTCCTTAAAATTAAATTTTCAGGTAAATAAAAATGCTGCACTATGCAAGTCAATAAATGAGTAATTTGATAAGGGAAAAAATCAAGTCGAGCAATAAGCTTTGAAGGGTCTGATGCAGAAGGCAAGGTTCTCTCAGTTGCATATGTTCCAAGAGACTCTTATATCTCTGATTTACATGTAATGCTTGGAAAGTAAGAAGCCTCTTGAATACTAGTATTAGCTGCCATCTAATAACTGTTTACATGTATGTTTAGTATCTACGCTTGTATCATTTACAAAAGTTTCATGTTACATGCTCAGTGATTTGTGTTTAAGCCTTTCTTTAAAGATAATGCCTATGGAATTCTCAATGTCTCACTCATTCCCTAGTCCTCTCCACTTTCTTCTCTTGCTCTATTGTGCCTGTTCCATTCTCCTTTTTGAGCATCTTCTCTTCCCTACTGGCTTCTCTCTTCCTTTTGCCCAGATTGGATTCATTCCTTTCACCGTGTTTCTCTCAGTTCTTCCAATTATTTGGGTTATATTAGCATGTGTTGCTACTTCTATTTCTTTTATTTAATTAAACCTTCAAATTTGGACCAGCACATGCAGCGGACCATCAACACCACTGGCACATCTTAGTTGGCTACTTTCTTTTAGCCGCACCCACTGCAAAAAAACCCAAAACCCAAACCTCACCCCCGAAAGCATGAAAAGGAAAAACAACCAATTTTTCCTAATTCAGATGGATAAGAGCCCCCTCTAATACTTTCTTTTGGAGAAGTGCACTAATGATCCTTCAGTTTTACCATTACAAGGACGTCCCACTAGTTTTTCTGAATTACATTGTTTTTCCTCATCATTCTTATAGACACACACACACACACACCAAGATGTTGTAATAACTTATGAAAGTCTGAAAAGAATTTAAACCCTAAACTCCAATGCAGAGGTGCACTCATGGGTATTGATTAGTTAAAACACTTTTTCTACATTGTGCTTGACCTCTACCTCTATAAGTATCATCCTGTTCCTAAGTTCTGGCCGTGCTTTGTTATTTTCACTCTTCTTGCACTTGTAACCTTAAATTTTGCATTTGATGAGATGGATTATCTTACTAAAAAATGATCTACAATATGTGCTTTTTTTTTTTACTGGTTATTCAGTTTCTTTCCTTTTTCTTTTTTTTTTCCTGCATACTTGTCAGGGAGTTATATTTCTTTGACAGCATAAATAATGTTTTCACAGACAGGTTTTGACATGGAGGAAATTCTGTGAAAATATATTCGTTATGTGTTGAATGTGATGCCATTCAACCCAGATTTGGTAGCAAATTTGATTCAACTGAGGAAAGCATTAGGATTGGATGATGCTCAAGTAGCTGGAATTCTCAATGAGATCTCAAGACAGATCGTAAAAGAGAAAGGTAAGAAACTAGTATTGTTGTAGTTGCACTTCTATTCTTTCCTATCCGCTTGTAATCTTTGAAATGAACTTAGGACTGGAGAAGAATGTCTTGAATTATAAGATCTCTTCATTTTAGATAACTAAATTCAAACTGCTAATGGCAAAGTTTAACTATCTGTAACATGTAAAATCAATAGAATTTTTAGCAACCACACATGAATTGCATAGTGGGCTTTTTTGAATATGATAGAAATCGCATTACTTTTGCTTCCTCTGCAGATCCATGTGTTCTCTCACAAAGTTTTGGGTTTTGGTAAAGGATCTCAATCAGTGGAAAGTGAAAGGAGGAAGCAGAGCTGATTACCAATTTCATTTTGTCCAATTAATGGTGTCATCTATGCGGTTTCCACAGTCTCTAGGACCCTTATTGTTTCTTCCAGTAATCATTTTGTGCACGCTGGCTGAAGAAGCAGCCAACAGTTTGGATCAGCAAGCAATTTTGCCTTGCAAATTGATGTAGTTAGCCATAAAGAACAGTAGAGGAAGACGTTGCAGGGCTTTAAGTCTTTGTGAAGCATAAAGTTGGAATGTAAAATAAGAAAGTTTGACAAAATTGATGCAACAGAGCTTGTATTAAGCAATAATATGTGCTTTGTCTGCTAAGGAAAAAGGCCTACTGCACAGCTCTATCTCTCGCACCTGATGCATTTTAAAGCATAAGAAGAAATATTAAGTCATAAGCATGTTCTTTTATGAAAAAGTCTTGTGGTTCAGATGTCTGTGTGCAATTGTGCTGGATAATCATTGCATTTACTGACATAGCTCATCGTTTCTATTTCTGATGGCAAATGAGCCAAAAATGAGCGTTCTTTGATCTGCTTTTTCTACTTTCTCTTACTTATGATCTGCGTAGAAATTAACTCTTTTTTTTTTTTTTGAAAATTGCGTAGAAATTAACTCTAAAAGGCAGATATGCTTACTGCTGGATGGCTGTTAATAGATGTTATCTGCATTCATGCTCATGCAGCATCCTAGACTAGGTGTAGCTAGGACCCTGCTCTTTTGCTATTTCTTGTTTCATTTTTTACCCCAAACTTTCCCTACCTCATATATGTACGTGTATTTTTGGCCAAACTTGTGGAGTTTCAGGGTTTTCCTATAACTTTGGAGCATTGACGAATATGGCATCATGTGATAGTTTGACCCACAAAGAATAAGCCTAATAACATGAAAATATGCAATTATGCTTTCAATATAATTCACTATTTTTTTTCCTTTTGTTTTCACTCTTATTTTTCTTTTAGTGCGCTATTTGCTTCTGGCACGAGGATTTATTTGAAGAACGCAAATTTTAGGCACCAATCTGAATGCGTACTGTGAGCCAAAACACTAGTATAAACGATAAGTCTTACCAATAAGATTATCAATCAATTAATTACCTAAGTTACAATCAATTATAATTATCAAGTCATATCTTACATCTCTTTAGTAAATACGAGTAATGAAGCATATGCTTTGCACATGAACATGATGCTTTTAGATTTTTTTCCTTTAAAATTTTTTAAAAATCAATTATTTTGAAGGAATAAATGTAATTGAGACAAAAAAAATTGTAATATTTAATATTTATATTAATTTTATATTTTTTCTGAACTTAGTTTGCCCTAATCAATACAAATGCAAAACTAATAAATCATTCTTTGTTCCACGAGCACTTTTATTTTGTAACAGTATTTTGTTTTTTGGTTAAATTTAGATGACCTAAATGTTCTTTTCTATTCCATTTGAGTTTAAATTTTTTATTTTTTGAATAATTTATTGCTCCCCTTTAATCATTCTATGAATTGTTTATTAGTTTTAGTGAGATTTTCTAATTATTATTATTTTTTGCTAACAATGGATTGTAAAATTATCTATAATACTATTGTAATTATAAGAGTATCTAAATCTATTGAAATTCCATTGTTCGAATTTGAATAGCTTAACTTTCAAGAAAATTGTTTTGATTTGATGAAACTTATCTGTATTTCACACTGATAACATGCTTTATGATTATAGAGTTTATGTGATTAAAATTTATAAGACATTAAGATTATTTACTATGTAATAGTCAAATTGAACTTGGATATATTTTTATTCACCTTTGAAGTACTCCTTGAAATTGATATTTTATGAAAAAAATATTTTTTTGGCTTAATTCACCATAACTCAAAGGGATGTTTCACCTTTGTAATTATTATTATAATTGGCATTGATGAATATAATATTCATTAATTGTAGTTTAATACTATTACTTGTTACAAGAATATGATTGATAAAGTTCATTAAATTTAATCTTTATTGCAATTTAAATAAATAAATTCCCAACATAAAACTCTTTGCCTACCTTGGTACTCTATTTCCTATTATATTTTGTATTAAAGTTTTTTTACTCAATACTAATATAAGCATATTAAAAAGGTGCTCTTAAGACTTAATTTTACTTGTATCCAAAAAATAAAGAGCAAATTATCCGGTTGGCCATTAAACTTTTGCGATCATCGAGTTTTGGTCACTCAACTTTTAAAGATCTGGTTTTGGCCACTAAATTATATAAAGGTAGGAAATGAAACCATTCTGTTACATTTAACCGTTAAGTTCTTTGATCTGTCCATTAGCGCGGTTTTCAAAACAAAAGGCAGGGTCTTTTTAGGAAGTTCAAAATAACACTTCTTCTTCTTCTTCTTGCATAAACCTAAACAAGACAGATTCACCCGAGAAACCACAAGAGAGAAGGAAATGGAAGCTTGGAGAGCGGAACTCCGGCGATCGACATAATGCAGTATAACATTTGGGGCTCAAGGCCCATGAACTCGTTCGCATCTGCTATAGGGACTACTTCTCTAGATCAAAGACATCATCGTCATCATCAGCTGGATTCAAGACCCTGCCTTCAAAATAGCATTGAAGGTGAACGATGTCTGGATCTGATTATCTTCCCGAAACCCTAAGCAAGTCCTATTCATCCTCTCTCCTCGATCACGACTATCCATTCTATCGCTTCAAATCTTCTTCCTTATCCTCATCTCCCTCCGATCCATGCCTCTATAAATCCGCCTCCTTGAGTAAGCTCAACGCCCGTGCTCCCGAATTCATTCCTCACATCTCGATTTCGTCCGCCGCTGCTCCTTCGTCTTCGCCGTGTCTCTTGTCACCCTCTATATCTTCCCCCTCCTTGTCTTCCTTGTCGTCTTCCTGCGGGAACTTGCTGTCCTTGGTTCAGTCAGAGTAGCAGAGCGATCTCGCCGCTACTTTCGTCGTTCCCCACCCTCCTAGAGTTCCCTCCTGGCTACATCATGTGTTTAATTCCAACCGAGCTTAGGGTTTCGCACTAAAAAACGCTAAATCGCAGCGATTAGATTACACCAGATCAAGGCAGTGGGTGTGCGATCAGTGGTAGGGTCCGATGGTGACTTCTACCATCCACCAGATGGTGAGATCGAGCAAGGGTCTGAGAGAAGAAAAGCTCTCCGGTAAAAAAAAAAAAACAAACAAAAACACACACAGAGACCGCGGATTTTTGAAGTTATATAAACTAGTCCCCTCTGCTCTGCCGGGTGCGTTCATATTCCAATCTCACCTTTTCATTCGTCCCGGAAGCTTTTCCGTCAGCTTTGATTCCTATCCAGCCAAACAAACCTCCCACAAGGACATTTCTGATTTATGAAGCTGAAGTTGGAATACAAACCAAAAAAAAAAGGGAAATCAAATAATGGCAGAGGAGGAAGCTTGCTTATTCGCCATGCACCTAGCTAGTGCATCCGTACTTCCTATGGTACTCAAATTAGCCATCGAACTTGACCTCCTGGAGCTTATAGCCACGGCCTGGATGGCAGTCTTGGCATTTGCAGGTACAACGAAGAATTTGACGCTTGGAAATCTACTAGTGGCGTTGGAGGAGTGATGTCTGCGGTGGATGAAAAGGGCCTGACGAAGATTTGAGGAGGGGGAGGAAGAAGAGCAACAATTTTTGAGAGAAGCATTGAATGCTATTTTGAACTTCCTAAAAAGACCCTGCCTTTTGTCTTGAAAATCGCGCTAACGGACAGATCAAAGAACTTAACGGTCAAATGTAACAGAATGGTCTCATTTCCTACCTTTATATAATTTAGTGGCCAAAACCAGATCTTTAAAAGTTGAGTGACCAAAACTCGATGATCACAAAAGTTTAATGGCCAACCAGATAATTTGCTCAAAAATAAATGGACTCATGGTGCTTTTTAAGAGACTCATAGTACCAATTCATTATGTTTTGTTTCATGTTCGAAGTACTTTCTAAACTTGGATTTTGTAAGTAAAATTTGTTATTTTTTCTTTTGGTAAATAAAAAGTAAGAATTCTTTCATTTGTGTAACTAATAGCATGTTTGATATTATTTATTAATGATGAAATGTAACGTAATTTATCCATTTATTAGAGAGGAGTGTAATTTTGGCATCATAAAAACTAATACTATCATTTTTTGTAACACTATTAGCCACTAAGATTCACCATATTTTTTAACTTTATAAATAAAATTTGTTCTTCTTTTTTTGATTTAATTCACTATAACTCAAGGGAACGTTTTTCATTCTTGTAATTGTTGGAATAATTGAAATTAATTATTGATGAAATGTACTGAATTGGTTGTTCTTTTTTTTTTTTTGGTTTAATTTATCAAAATCACCACAATTCAAGAAATATTTCTTTGTAACTGATAGCATAATTCTCATTCATTAGTAAGAAAATGCAATGTAATGGGTCCTTTTATTAGTATCAAGGACAATATTGATATCACAAAAACTAAGATAAGTTTTTGTTTACACTCATATTAAAGACTCATTATACTTTTTATATAATAATATAATAAATAGATATCCTATATATATATAAAAAAGAGTTGTTGTATGACTCTTGGGTGATTTTCATCTAACATTTGTAGGGGCATTTTGGTAATGGTAAAAATATAACAGTATTGATTAAGCAAAATGCACAAGTTTCTGTTGCCTAATTTTGCATGGTTTACCTACTGTACCCTTTGGTGGCTAATGGTTTGGCTACTTTGCCATTGATTTAGCAAAGTGGGTAGAAAAGCGAAATTAACTCCCCTCAAGTATATTTAGCTGAATTGATTATGCAAATTAAATGCATTTAAGATAATATTGGTGCAGTAAGGCTAAAAATGAATGCTTGAATTGTAACGCTAGAAAGTTTCGTCTTCTTCATCATTCAAGCTCAAGAACCATTAATTCAACTCTTGCAACAAATGGCACTTATTTGAATTAGTAATTGTAGCACATTGATGAGGCCATTAAAGTGTGAGAGGTAAAGAATTATTTGGAATAAATGTTACAAGAGTAATGTAGGACCTCCAATTTTCTTCAACATTTGCTCATCAATTTGTAACGTAGGTTACAATAATGGCTATTGTTAAGGTACAAAATTGTGGATTAAGAAGGTTTGCACAATACCAAAGTTGGGTTTGTAGAGGTATGCTCAATTTTGCTCTTGCTTTCTGGTCTATGAGTTGCATAGCTTCCATTCTACAAAGTCCTGAATAAGCCTTTGTGCTTGCTATTACAAGCGGACGAAGTGTGGAGAGATTTTGCTCTTAGATTGCACTTTACTATTGAAGGTACAAGGTAACTCTACATTCCC